CCATGATTCTCTCTCATCATGGACGTTTCTCTCTCTCCCTTCCTCTCTGAATTCAAATAAAATATATATTTTTTAAAAAGTGTGTATACATGTTCCTGGATATATATTTTCTGCAAGGCTGTACCCAGGAATCTCACCCGCTCCAATAAACACTATACATTTATTTTTCCCGACTTTTGTGCGAATCTTTTTGGCGACATATTCTAGCAGATTCTCCCAAAGACATCGGTACGGGTGGGATCTGACTTTATCAGGGATATTTCTGCAAGTTCTAATCACTCACAGTCATTGAAGGTATGATATTCACGCCTCCCAAATGGCAAATAATATAATTGCAAAAATATATATATATTTTTTATTGATTTCAGAGAGGAAGGGAGACAGAGATAGAAATATTAATGATGAGAGAGAATCACGGACCGGCTGCCTCCTGCTCGCCCCCTACTGGTTGGGGATCGAGCCCGCAAACCCGGGCATGTGCCCTTGACCGGGAATCGAACCCGGGACCTCCTGGTTCATAGGTGGACGCTCACCACTGAGCCACACCGGCCGGGCACAACTGATTCTTGTGGTTTGCGTGTCCGTGGCTTCGGAATGGACCCCAGATAACGGAGCGTGGCCGCCGTTGGCATCCTATACCCACTGGGGGGCTGAATCCTGACCCAGGTGTGCCCTGAACCCTTCAATCTCACTCTTATTTTTTTTTTTCTTTCTTCCACTTTCACAGTCTTCCCCCGGCAACCCGGCCGCGTTGCCATAGTGACGGGAGGCACGGAGGGGATTGGCTTGGCGACCGCCGAGCGCCTGGCTCTCCTCGAAATGCATGTGATCATAGGTAAGAATTTTTACACCGATTCACATACATCCTATAGAATAAAAGCCTAATATGCTAAGTGTCCCGTTGTCTGGTCGGCCGTTCAACCAATCAAAGCGTAATATGCTAATGATATGCTAAGGCCACTCAACCGCTCGCTGTGACGTGCACTGACCACCAGGGGGCAGACAGTCGGCT